ACCAGCTAAAAACCGGTAATTACCGTCTAACGGAAACCCTGCTGCAACCCACTTATTTGGGAAATAAGTCAAACTTTTATTTTGAAGGCCCGGTTTTCTAACGCTGTGCATGCAGTAGGCGTTGGACTGGAAGTACCGGAGACCATAAACAGTTTTGAAAACTTCTGTCACGTAGATACAAATGAACACATAATGAAATATGACCCCCGGTTTGATGATTGACAGGTCACAGAACAATGGGAGCTATCTACCCTTATCCACAATTTAAAGTAAGTCACACAGACTATCTCCTCTTTGCTCTTCTCTCTGTGTGGAACAGCAAGTTCAGCTGTCAGAACAAAGTGAAAAACAAACAATGGCACAAAATATTATTAATATTTCGGGTAGTAATAGATTTATTTATTTTCTTCTCAGAGTGTACCAGAATGCGTAGTTTATATGTTAGTATTTCTAAAAATCTCCTGGGGGAGAATCCCCCCGAACACCCCTTCTGGGGTTGGGTTTTCAGCACGTGTGCCTTTTTATGTTATACAGTTCAGCTTTGATTTCATCATCTCATTAAACCTTATTTATATATTAATTAATAATGTACGCTGAAAAGCGTATATATTACAGCACGATCTGTTGTTGAATAGATTTGAGAGGTTCAAAATTTCGGACCAGTTGAGAACCACTGCTCTAGAGTCACCAACAGAGGGGGGTGTAAAGCCAGTAACCGGAACAATTCCAGTCAATGAAGCTGGAGCAGAAGTGGCAGCTCAATGTTCAGTGACGGGGCGATGGCTGTCCCGTGTCTCCTCTCTGTGCTCGCATCCCGCTGAGACTGCGGGAGATCAGACTGGTTATTGGAGAAACATAAAACACTGCAACTCAAGCGTGTAGAAGGAAAAAAGCACACTTTTTGGCACACCATCAAGTGTATTTTATCCAGCTGCTCTGAGGGAGGAGGTTGTGGGTGGGTGCTTATAATACAGACCATGAAAACAATAAAATCATGCAGGAGCAGGAGAGATCTCATTTCATCAGGGGCTGTGGAGGCGAGGACCGGTACACACATGTGCACACTAAGTCCTGCACCTGCGTGTCTATCTGCCATACTAATTATAAAAAAATACAACCACGGATAGGACTCTTTTTCACCCTACTTAGCTTTTTTAAGTATTCAAGAGTGTCACTGCACTCCATAAAACCTCTTTTAACTGAGAGGGGGTTAATGATGAGTGTGACGATTGAAAGCTTGGAAATCCTGTAAATGTTTTAGAAGAGAGCTCATCTGAGTCATCCACCATTAAATTACTCTGGGTAATGGCTGTTGCCATTAAGTCATTATGGGCAGCATGAAAATTGTTGTGCTTAAATCAACAGCAACAAAGAATTAAAGTCATAATTGAAGCTGCGCATGTTGCTGTTTATATAATATAAACTAGGGTAGTCTTTTCTTCTAAGTTAGAGGTGTACATGTTGGTTCTTTCTCGAAGCATGGTTTTCAGCAGACACTTGGGCAAACAAAATGCAACCTTTTGGGATAACGAAAACTCTAGCACCATGTTTAAGAGTCATGATTTACAGTGTCTTGTGTTTAAAAAAATGTGGCTCATCTAAATAAAGGCAAATTCTGTAGTTTTCTATATTCAGTTTCTTTTAGGATTGCTAAATTATAGGTTGAAGGGGTGGCTTGTATAGAATATACAGCGTTTTCCTTACAAACCTCCTGAAATTAAGTTTTGGCTGTTGCCAATTACCAGACGCTTTAATTAGGCCTAACTATCGCTGTGAGTGCAGAGCAGGTCTGAGAGTGAAGCTTCCACACGCGTCCGTAAAGCGATCAACGCATATGCCGTTATCATTGGTGGAGGAAGTGCTCACATCCTTTAACAGAGTGACTCATTACTCATGCCACTCTGTAAAAGTACTGTTACAAGTTGTTTAAAATGTATGTATGTTAGTACAAACAGGAAAATGTCCCTGTGACTGTAATTATTTTATAGCTTTCTTATGCTTTAACATATAAGCAGGTTTCTGCTGTTGTAGTTGGTTAAGGTGGTGCTAATGATTGTTTTATTTATAGATTAATCTACTAATATTTTTACCATTTATCAAATGATTGGGTTAGAATCACAATTTTACTCAAAACCCAAAGTGACATCGCACTTGTTGTTTTTTATCCAACCAACTGTCCCAAACCTTAACAGTGTTTTTTTTTTTAAATAATAAAAAAACAAACTGAATGTTTTCTTATTTCAGAAGCTGGAACCATTATTATTATTTTCATAAAAAAGACTCTGACGATCAACATAGTAGTAGTACGTTTTTGTCTAATATCTAATAATCTAATATCTCGTGATATCGGTTCTTGTAAAAAACATAATGCTTTATTAACTCATGTTGTTTTCCCTATTAAAGCCATTATTTGTAAAGTTGTTAAATAACCAATGCTAGCAAATAAATGGTGTGAAGTAAAAGCTAAACTTAGTTGCTTCCCACCGCTGGCCGTTAGAAACAGTCCGCACACACATTCACAGTCTGACAAGAACATGTGGGTGAGGGAAACTCAGTCAAAGCATGGCATGGTATCAGACAAAGTTTGTGTGTGTGTGTGTGCGTGCGTGCGTGCGTGCGTTCGTTCGTGCGTGCTTGCGTGTGTAGGACACTTCTGCTTACTCACCTGACCATTGTGTGGCTTTTAGCCTTGCTTCAACCCCAGAAACAAACAATGGTGCACCTCACAGAGACAGAAACCTGGCTGCTTTGTTTTATTTGTGACTCACATGGTCCTACTACTCGTATGCCCTGGTCAAAATGTTCCACTACTCCCAAGTGTTGTGGTACTTCTTTTTACAGTGACGTGATAATGTTGATAAGAGAGTTGTTTCTGTACTCAGAGCTAGTAATGCTCCTGGTCGGCTCTTTTGAAAGGGTTGTAAATACTCCCATGGGTGTGGACTGTTTATATAACATTGTATCCATACAGAATGTCCTTGATTTAGCCATACATGCTTTCTGTGACAAACATGACTCAACATAGAATAATTGCTCCTCTGCTCACCAAAGTGTGTGAATTGATACCACACATACATTTTGCCCGGATCATGAGTGACACATCAGGATCATGTTCAGTAGTTCTTTGGAAAGCTACTCATGACTCACCACTGGCTGGCAGTAACGGATCTGTTGCTCTAACTGCAACACCTCTTAAATTCGATTTGAAGCCATTCATTTTTAACTACATCTAGATAGTGTGTCAGAACTTTATCGCCTGGATTTGATCCTCTCACTACTGAACATGCAGTATTACTAACGTACCATAAAGATACGATGGTTGGCAATTTTACAGTCGTAAGTCATGGATCTGCAGCTGCTTGTGAGGGGGAATCTCACTTTGGGTATGGATATGATATACCACGAGAGGAATATTATATCCTTTTGCAAAAATAAGAGTTAAAAAAACCCTACAAATGCCTTCATCTATGAATTTACATATATTAGATAAGTAAAGTTAACAGTTAATTCAATCAGTATATCGAAATCCTCATGAGGTTGCCCAAATGTCTTTTGACTTACTCATCTCCAACTCTTTCAAAGATGAATACCAGAGAGGTGTGTGTGTGTGTTTGTGTGTGTGTGTGTGTGTGTGTGTGTGTGTGTGTGTGTGTGTGTGTGTGTGTGTGTGTGTGTGTGTGTGTGTGTGTGTGTGTGTGTGTGTGTGTGTGTGTGTGTGTGTGTGTGTGTGTGTGTGTGTGTGTGTGTGTGTGTGTGTGTGTGTGTGTGTGTGTGTGTGTGTGTGTGTCAGGAGTCTCTACTTAGCAGCATTGTGGATATTGGGACTTGTTTCAGGGTTTGAATAAGAACAGAAAGCTAAAAATCCAACACGCTTTCTCTTCCTTCCTTTGATTCCTCTGTTTTCTCACTGGAAGGCTTATTGAAGTAAGAAAATAAACAAGAGTCAGAAATGTAAAACAAACAAGGCTCTTTTAAAGAGAGCGGCTCCTTAGGTATGCTAATTTTGCAATCTTACAACAAATCAGTCATGGGGTTATTGCCTGTGTGTGCGCCAGATTAGACTTCACTCGCGTTTATGTCCGTATCGATCAGATCTAGCTAGTTCTAGCTAATGATATGACTACCTGCTTATTAAAAGACACCTAAACAATAAGCATCGCTATGCAACCGGGTGAGGCCGCAAAGTATAGCGCAGCATTATGCATTTGTTTACATGCCCACCGGAGGCATTACCAACAGATCAACGCATAATCAACCCATACAGGATATCTCTTTCTCCACATTAAATGTTAGACATTAGAATTGACTCTTCTTGTCTGTCACATACTCTTCTTGTCTGTCACATACTATTCTTGTCTGTCACATAAGCGGCGCAACTGATGCGGTATTGTGCTAAGGGGAAATTATTTTGACCGGACATTTTGACCGGAGAGATTTAGTTTTGCCGGTCTTCAGCATATTTTACCGGTCAAAGTCCGGTAATTACCGGCCAACGAAAACTCTGGTGTGCGCACTCGGTTGTGTGTGTAGGTGTGTGGCACTTGTGTAAGATGGGGACGATCACTCCCTGTGTTTTAGCTTGCCATTCTTATTCTTTGATATCTTCCATGATTAATTTCTAAAGTGAATGTGTGTATAGACATTAATGTGTGTGCGGTGAGTGTGTACACCCCCTAGCTCTGGTTTCCATTTTTGACTGTTTCCACCTGCGGCCGTAAGCTTTGAATCTGCATAATCATAGTTATGTTTTTTCTCCTTTTCCTAACGACCTAACGAAAGTAAAGGCTCATTCACTCGTGACGCTTGTTTGTAGTTCAAAGCAGAAGAAGAGTCCCACTGCTATTCAGGAGATTCAGCCTAGATACTGGCCTACATATAACTGTCTTCATGTTAACAATCAGTGTTTGAGTCATTCCTGTCACTTTCTCCACATGACAAAACAAAGGGGTCTTCCCCTGACTCAAAACTACTTCCAACGGGTGCACTCATACCTCCCACTCATGTTTTCTCCTTTATCTTTTTCTCTCCCTGTCACTATCTCTGTTTCCCAGGGACCACACATAGCATCAGTGACTTTGGCAGCCTATGAATGTGGCTCGGTGGATTTCCCCGAACCGCCCTATCCAGACCAAATCATCTGTCCCCAGCAGAGTGCACCGGCAGCAGGGTCTGATGCTGCTGAGCAGGTGGGCGTGGAGGCTGCAGGGGAGGAAGGGTTGATGGAGACAGCTGCCATCCAGGGAAGCATCTCTCTCTGGACCATCCTCTCCAAAGTGCGCCTGGAAGCTTGTATGTGGGTGAGTGCATGTTACACGCTGGCATTGGACACTGCAGGCCGCGAAAGCTGAAGAGCTTTTATAAACATTTCTCATTGTGCAGTTTTGGTCGCAGTTTGAATTGACCTTGCACACTAACCACAGCTGGGACCAGTCTTCAGAATGTGTGCTATGAAATATCAACTTTATGTCAGTTCCTCATGCACTAAGAGAAACGATCTTGTTTTCTGACTCACCACCATGCATGTTTGAATTTATCCAGTGGGTTTTTATAAGGTGCTATTAGACAGAGGGAGGTAGAAACATAAAACCTACCAAAATTGAAGGGGCCACATCAAACTAAGCATGCAAAGAACTTCAAATTAGGTTAACAAGTCATACCGTGAATTTTTACTGACTTACCATGCAACTGTGGTTATTGAATGGCAGAAAATGGTGAACATGTGATCCTCAATTGGACTCCCTTGTTTTCTAAGGAACATAATGACATCACTATGTAACACTTGCTCTTCTATTGGCTAGCGCTTCAACAAATTGTAAGTGATAGGCTAAAGGGCGGGACATCTCTCAGCGAGCGTCCAATCACAACAGAGGCGGCCAGTTTACCAATCAGGGCAGACTTGGCACTGATTTCAGACAAAGGGTGGAAAGAGGTGCTGAAGCACAGGCAGTATAAGAAAAATAAAGAAGTTTTTGAACATTAAAGCACGGAAACATTACCCAGATATGAACTAGGGCTGTACCCGAATATCCGGTCGTTGGCCTACTATTCGGTTTTCAATTTCGTTAGTCGGATATTCTTTTTTTTCTCTTTTTTTTTGGCAGCCGCGCTGCACTGCGTGGGGGTTAGGATGGTATAGGGTTGGGTTAAATGCAGAGGACACATTTCGTTTTAATGTATCCGAGTACTGGGACAATAAAGACATTACAAATAAATATAAATCTTATAAATATAAATCGTAATAGTATGCTCTTTCTGCAATTCAGCTTCACAGCGTTTTTGTCAGGTGTCTCGGATTCGGAGCGTATTATGAAACCTTTTGAAAAATGTATTTTTATTAACTTTAGCATTTCCCTCCGAATAATGGTCGAAGACTTGACTGATGATATGAATGTATTGAAATCTCCAATATCAACTTAAGAGCTTGTGCCTCTTCGGAGGTGCTAACACTTAACCATAAACTTTATCCTTTACTTTCTCCGTCTTTATATGTAGATATTACTTTTCTCCGTTAATCTCCACTCCTTTTCTCCGTCACGTTGTTTCGTAGCAACAACAACTTCCTGTCAACAGCGCTAACTCTCCTTCAAAATAAAAGCATGTCCATACAAAATAGGAAGCCAAGTCAAATTACACTAAAGACATATACACAACTGCAACTAAAGTAGCATACACAATGCAATATCATTTTCAATTTCAAAGAACACAAATTGTGTTATTTACATTAACAAATAATTATAAAACAACAATACTGTAGAATAACAAAATGAATGCCTTGAATAAACCAAAATACACGTGTTGAAGCACGCGCCGAATATTCGCTGCTGATTACTACCGAATATCCGGAGCCCGAAAATGGTATTCGGGACAGCCCTAATATGAACCTGAAAATGACTTTGATAGGGCCCCTTTAAAAACCTCTGTCATTTACTTTATGATTCATGTTTCTTTTCTGCAGTACCTCCACTGATAAATGATCAAGCTATGAATGAGTCAAATGTGCATGTTCACCGTTCAACTGTTTTCATTGATAACTCACTTGCTTGGAAACCCCCAGCTCCTTACCGTGAGATTTCCCCCAGTGTCGGTGGTTTCACACACCTAGTGGCTGCTGAGAAAAATGAAACATTTTCAGTGTACTACGTTTTCTTCAGAACAAGAGCATGAACACTTTTACAACTTTATAGTGGAAATTAATAAAGACAACATTCTAAACTTTATAATGTCAGTGTTTTTAGTTTAAAGAGCGGCTTTCTACTTTCAACTCCAGTGGTTTATCAATGAATCGTGACACACACACACACACACACACACACACACACACACACACACACACACACACACACACACACACACACACACACACACACACACACTCTTGTGGCTGGAC